CCCTCACCTGCTCCGGCCCGGCACGTGCCCGTGCCCGCGCCCGCCAGCGTCCCGGGGCTGCAGTCACAGAGAAGTGGGACTGGAAGGGACACCTTGGGCCCCCTACTCCAGCCCCCAGCCAAACCTTCTCATATCATCTAAAGCAGTGCTTTTTTCAACCCGTGGGTCGTGACCCCCAAGTGGGTCACAGGCAGCACCATACCTAGACCCCTGATAGCCCCAGGCAAACTTTGCCTAGCAGGTCCCCTTCACCAGAGATAATGATAATAATAAATCAGGAAAACACCACAGATCCAGATCCAGGTCCGTGAAGGCAGTTTTCCGTAAGCATTCCCAAGGATAACTCTTCATCTGGCATGGTTTAGTACAGGGTGGTCAAAATGCGGCCCGGGGCTGGATGCGGCCTGCCAGGCCATTTGATCCGGCCCAGGGGCCCCTAAAAAACTTAGAAAATTAATATTTATCTGCCCCTGGCTGCCTGTCATGCGGCCCTTGATGGCTTGCCAAAACTCAGTAAGCAGCCCTCTGCCTAAAATAATTGCCTGCCCCTGGTTTAGTACCTGCCAAGGGGTTGGGGCTTAAAGCCCATTGTATAGAAATGGGAGGCTCCGCCCTAGCTTGTTTCTGAGGCCATATGGCTGAGGGCAGGTGAAACTTGGGGGCATCTGAACCCCGAGTCTCTGGGCTCGGGGTTGCACATAGGATGCTTGCCAAAAGACGAAATATCTGAAGCCCCTCGTGGGGGTGGAGGATGTTTGCCAGTTGTAGGGCCACTTATGGTTCTGGACTGACTCACAAATTTGGGTGATTTGGCTTGGAACATAAAAAAATCTTTTAAAAAAAAATGATAATAATCAGACAACAGCAAAAAAAAAAAAAACAACGCACATTTTCAGGCCCTGTTTCTGTCTGGCAGCTGCCCGGTTCACCCATGCTTGTGTCTGACCCTGGTCGCAAAAATACATGAAAGGGTTGCGAACAAACTTTAAAAATGGATCAAACTTGGAAAAGGGATTCTCCTTTAAAGGAGAAAAACATGGGAAACCGTGGCTTTTCCCTTGCAGGCTGGCAGAGTTCTTGTCTGCAAAAGGCTGCTTGGGGCTCCCCGTGCCCCACACACCCACCCCTGTCCCACACACTGTGGGGCTCAGGGCAGCAGGTCAGGAGTGAGGGGCATTGGGTTGGGACTGGCAATCAATGTCTACAAATGAGTCCTGGTACAAAAAAGGTTGAGAACCACTGATCTAGAAGGTGCAGATCTACCCTGCCTTGTACCCTCCATCCATATATGCCTTCTCCAAAACATGAGATTGAATATTGAGAAAAACTTCACTGTTACCACAGTAAGGCAGTGGGATAGATGGCCTATAAAAGCTGTGGACTCTCCATCGCTGGAAGTGTTCAAGAGGTTGGACAGCTACTTGTTGGGGATGACCTAGCTATAACTATGCCTGTGTTCTATCAT